GAATGTAACAGATATATTGGTGTTCAAGAGTTTTACATTTAATTTAGATTGCTGATAAAAAAAATAAAGCATACAAAAATCCAAATATAAACTTCTAACTCTTGTTCTTTTCAAGTATAGAGACAATGACTATACCTACCAAACCTTAGGATCTAATTCAATCTTATTACATTTGTGAGACAATAACTATAACAATTAATGTAAAATGTAACCAAATAAGAAAGAAAAAAAATCTACTATAATATGTTGTTTCATATAGTATATAATTTTTTTTTTTAAATTATCTCAAGTTTTTCTTTTCTAACATAAATTTATGGTTGATCAACAACATATTGGGCTTAGAAATAGGCCCACTATAATTTAACCCACACACGCAAAATATCTGTCACCCGTCTATATAAATAACCAGACGATGGCATTAGCATCAATCAATCAAGTCACTCTTATTCTTCCAAATTCCAAACACAGTTTCATCAGACAATGAGTGGACCCTCCTCGCCTGCAGCCGGCTACAACCTTAATGGTACCATTTCTTTCCGAATTTTCGTACAAACATTTGGCTTTTGATCCGTAACCAAATCTGTGTTTTTATTTCTTGGTTTAATTTTATGAACACAGGGAACGAGCGCCTTAACGTGGAAGGAGATGACGGATCAATCCGTTGGACTTTCAAGAACGATTCGTGCATTGTGAGGGTGGATGTTCCTGGTTGCTCAGGAGTACCCATGTCTTACAATCTCCACCCAGACCACGTCGTGTTCGAGGTAGAAGAACCAGCCATGGACCATACCGACCGATCGAGACGCAAGTACAATGGGTACGTCAAATTTGACCCAGTGCTTTTCGATGCGGCCAATGCGAAGGTTAATGTCCTCCGTGGTGTACTCTGGATCACTGTTCCTAGGAAGCACTAATCAAGAAGAAGAGATTACGTTGCTGCGTATAATTGCGGCGTATTAAAATACTAGAATAATGAAAACTGTTTGGACCGTATACGTGCATGTCGGTATTAAACTCTTCTATGATTAGTTAATTATTGTCTGTGTTAAACTCTTCTATGAGTACATTAACCAATTATTGTCTTATTAATAAAAATAAGAATTTCTCCCTTACACACAAATGTTGCAATCTTAATTACGTTATTTTGTTTTCAATATATTAATCATTATCTAATTATTTAAAACAAAATAACCTTACAGAAGTAGTCCACATCATAAGTACATCGTAATAATTTGTTTTGAACATATCTTTTTTTAGAAGGAGATTAATATACTCATAGAAGAAGATATGATTTTATAGTTAGTATTCAATAACTTCAATGGTTTTATAAAAAAAAAGGATAATACTCCTGTCTTTTACCATTTGTTGAAAAATATGGCCGGCCAGATCAAGGATTTTGGGCCCCTCCGATCAGATTTCGTCTATGAACCTTCAACCATCGAGCCACCGTAAACGCTGCACAAACCAACTGATATATAACAAAGCTTGACTAAACAAAGAAAGTAAAGGAAGAGACCGGCTCCGGTGGCTTGAACGAGGGCTGATCTCTCAATGCATTTGTATTGTATCACTTTTGAAACGAATCTTTGACATTCAAAAAAGTGTAGTTGAAAATGTGTAGATAACCAATGTGCATTAACTGCATTTTAAGAAAAGCTTAACAAACTGTGAATAATTGTTCAGTTGTTATAACGCGGACGTCTTCTTTTTACCACTTTTATATGTTTATGGCTCATTACTTTCCCCGTATATTCATTGTTGACGTTAGCTTTCAATGCATTTGTATCACTTTTGAAACGAAATTAAAGTAATTCTATTTTCAAAAAAGGGTAATACATAAAGTTAACACATTAGAGGAAAAGAACTGAGTGGAATTGCATATTCCATCACATTCCTCAACCATTCAACCATTTTGGATGAATTTATTTTCTTCAATTTCAAGACAATTTAACCAAATGTATGTTTGGGCAATGTGTTTGCTTCATCAGTAATTAAGTATGCGGAATATGCTTTTCCACTCACAACCACTCACTTCACCTCAAATGGTTAATTAGAAAATGAAATTATAAAGAATAGTCAAGTTTTATTTATGGGCAATGTGTTTGTCTTTGTTTTATTTATGTTCTGGGTTAAATTATTTTACGATCTTCAAACCATAGTAAATTTCTTACATTCTCTAGAATATGGCTTCAACTACGATAAGTAGATAATTTTTCTTCTGAGTTTAAACCCATGCATTTATTGATAGTAGACTTATTTTGAACTACATTTTTCATTGGCTTCAACTACGATAAGTAGCAACTTTATTTTTCATTGTGTCCTACAAACGGTAAAAGTAAGATTTAATGCAAGTTGAGTTAGAACATTATATATGAGCCTTACGTACATAATTTGATTTTTTGGAAAATACATCAACTTTAACCAAATACTGAATTGAGACTAGCTAGATCTTAAATAAATTCATACCCTTGGTTTAAAGAAGAAAACATAACAGAAAATCTATACGAAGACTCCTATTTTTTTTGTTTTTCTCTGGATTAGCAAATTTATAAAAGAATTAGGATAAGAAAGACGTTCATCGCAATATGTTCATCAGTTTTTCATCAACATGAGAGATTTCGAGACCAAAGCAGTTATCAAAATTTAATGTCGACTTTGGGCCTATAAGTAGGCCCATACATTTTGGGGACGCATAATATCTTCACCCGTCTATGTAATGCGGATAACAATCGACTATCCAGGAACATCATTGGACAATTATTTAACTGCATTTACAAATAAATGCTTATAATAAAGGGTTAATTAGGTGAATATTATGTTTTGAAATTGAAATTAGGTGAGTAAAAACAAATTAGGTGAGTAGCATTAAATTCTTACATTCTGACGAAATTGCCCTTAATGATGTGATTAAAAACATTTGGTAAAAATCCCTAAAAATATATTACTGTCTTGAACTGAAGTTTAATATAGTGGACTGTTGTAAGCGTATTCACTAACTTTATGAACTGCTCATAATAATCCACTATAATATATTATGTTTATGACTATAGTGCACTGTAATATATTTTGCAATTATAACTGAGTAATTTTGTAGTTATTTATTGTCTGATCTGCATAGTTCATTAGTTATAGTTCACTATATTGACTGCTGATAATATATATTGCAATAATATTTAACTACAATAGTTATGTATTTTTTATAGTTCACTATATGTTTACAACCATAGTGCACTATAATATGTATAGACTGCTTATAATATATATTGCAATAATAGTTCACTACAATAGTTATGTATCATATACAAAACTCCATCATCCTCCTTCTCATCAGGCCATGACAAGTCGTCTCCTTCTAGACTTTCGGCAGGCAGCGTATATGTCACTTTTACCTGAAACAAAAACACATTTGAGTAAACAGAATAATAGTTAACTATTACACGGCCGTAGTTAACTATAATAATAATCCTCAATTTTTTTAACATAGATAACTATTACTCTGCCGTAATTGACTATGTATAGTAGGTTATTGTAATAGGACAAAGAAAATGTTACTGGTCGATCATTATCTAGCTTTTGAATCGATTTCATAACGATGTTTAGAGGCTTCTCAAATTCTTCATTGTCGTAGTTATCTTCAGAATCAACAATACAAACCAATATGGAGATTGGTTTGGGTT